TCACTTCCGGGCGAAAATGACGGCCCCGCCCACTTTGGGGGAAAACAACGCTGTCATTTGAACGGCGGTCGATACAAATTCTGAAGCTTTTGCCAATCCGATCAGAAACGTAAGAAAACCGTGGATTGTCTGATCTTCAAAGAGCCCGATGACGATGGCCAGTCAGGCAAACATTTACATTAAATCTTTGGAAACCGACGATCGGTCTTGATATATGGTTAAATTAAAATCAGTAGGCGAGGCTGTAATTTCTCCAGCTGTTACTCTCATGAGCGAGGCGGGAAATAATAGTTTTATCATGCCAACAAGCTGCCGTGTCGTTTATTGCTCCTCAAACATTAAAACAAATCCAGAGTTACCTGTTTCTGAACTTCCTCTAAGAAGAAAGGGCAGTAGCAGAAGAGCTCTGTGGCTTCGGGCTCGATCGCCGTTCAAATGACAGCGTTGTTTCCCCCAATAGTGGGCGGGGCCGTAAAGTGACGTAGATGTTTCTCTCATCCATGGACATCGATAGCCTACTGCTATATTTAAACATATATCGAAAGTGGGCGGAGCCGTCATTTTTGCCCGGAAGTGACGCATGTGTTGCTCTCAGCTATGGAGAAATAACGGTAAAAAACGTAAAAATAAATAAATGTATACACGTATAAATACATAACTTTTTCCATCCATCCATCTTCTCCCGCTTATCCGTGGTCAGGTCTCGGGGGTAGCAGTTCCAGCAGAGAGCCCCAAACTTTATTTTCCCTGGCCACATCAACCAGCTCTGACTGGGGGATCCCAAGGCGCTCCCAGGCCAGCGAAGAGATATAATCCCTCCACCTGGTCCTAGGTCTACCCCTTGGTCTCTTCCCAGCTGGACGTTCCTGGAACACCTCCCTAGGGAGGCGCCCAGGTGGCATCCTAACGAGGTGACCGAACCACCTCAACTGGCTCCTTTCGACGCGAAGGAGGAGCGGCTCAACTCCGAGTCCCTCCCTGATGACCGAACTTCTCACCTTATCCCTAAGGGAGACACCAGCCACCCTGCGGAGAAAGCCCATCTCGGCCGCTTGTATCCGCGATCTCGTTCTTTGGGTCATGACCCATCCTTCATGACCATAGGTGAGGGTAGGAACGGAAATGGCCCGGTAGACAGAGAGCTTTGCCTTCTGGCTCAGCTCCCTTTTCGTCACAACGGTGCGGTAAAGCGACTGCAGTACCGCTCCCGCTGCTCCGATTCTCCGGCCCATCTCACGCTCCATTGTTCCCTCACTCGAGAACAAGACCCCGAGATACTTGAACTCCTTCACTTGGGGTAAGGACTCATTCCCTACTTGGAGTGGACAGTCCATCGGTTTCCTGCTGAAAACCATGGCCTCAGATTTGGAGGTACATAACTTTTTATAAATGGAAAATAACTGAAAATAATCCAGCAAAAATAAATCAGGTACATTTAATAGAATATACATTTATTGTATGGTTTTATTTATTTGGCACTTCTCGTCCTCCGTAGAAGGGTCTTAGTGAGGAATCAGGGCTGTGTTAGCTTAGCTTAGCATAAAGACTGGCAGTGGGGGGAAGTGTTAGCCTGGCTCTTGCTTTGCATAATGAGTAACGATACTTGAGTGCAGAGTGAACGCTGAAGAGCTTCTGATTTACGCTCCTTCATTAGCGTCAGCTCTCTATCAGACTGTTGGTTTTCACTTTCACAAATGAAGCAGAACGTTCGGACAGATGTTCCCAAACCCCCCCGCTGACCAATTACTGGACAGACAGCCAGTGTGTGTGTGTGAGAGTGTGTGTGTGTGTGTTTAAAGAAGAAACTGGTGTTTGTTTAGAGTTAATACTGAATCAGAGCGTGTCAAAGACATCTGAAGGCCTTTTAATTTACCTTAACACAGTATGCTGCTACGCAAAAAGACACTTTGTACTTTCAATACATTTCATTGGACAATTTCTACATTTATTTTAAGAACTTTGAGAACATTTTACTGCACAATTAGTACTTTGACTTGAAGTTCTTTGAATACATTTTACTGCACAATTAGTACTTTTACTTGAAGTTCTTTGAATACATTTTACTGTACTTTAATACTTTGACTTGAAGTTCTTTGAATACATGTTACTGTACTTTAATACTTTGACTTGAAGTTCTTTGAATACATTTTACTGTACTTTAATACTTTGACTTGAAGTTCTTTGAATACATTTTACTGTACTTTAATACTTTGACTTGAAGTTCTTTGAATACATTTGACTGTACTTTAATACTTTGACTTGAAGTTCTTTGAATACATTTGACTGTACTTTAATACTTTGACTTGAAGTTCTTTGAATACATTTTACTGTGCTTTAATACTTTGACTTGAAGTTCTTTGAATACATTTGACTGTACTTTAATACTTTGACTTGAAGTTCTTTGAATACATTTGACTGTACTTTAATACTTTGACTTGAAGTTCTTTGAATACATTTTACTGTACTTTAATACTTTGACTTGAAGTTCTTTGAATACATTTTACTGTACTTTAATACTTTGACTTGAAGTTCTTTGAATACATTTTACTGTACTTTAATACTTTGACTTGAAGTTCTTTGAATACATTTGACTGTACTTTAATACTTTGACTTGAAGTTCTTTGAATACATTTGACTGTACTTTAATACTTTGACTTGAAGTTCTTTGAATACATTTGACTGTACTTTAATACTTTGACTTGAAGTTCTTTGAATACATTTTACTGTACTTTAATACTTTGACTTGAAGTTATTTGAATACATTTTACTGTACTTTAATACTTTGACTTGAAGTTCTTTGAATACATTTTACTGTACTTTAATACTTTGACTTGAAGTTCTTTGAATACATTTTACTGTACTTTAATACTTTGACTTGAAGTTCTTTGAATACATTTTACTGTACTTTAATACTTTGACTTGAAGTTCTTTGAATACATTTGACTGTACTTTAATACTTTGACTTGAAGTTCTTTGAATACATTTTACTGTACTTTAATACTTTGACTTGAAGTTCTTTGAATACATTTTACTGTACTTTAATACTTTGACTTGAAGTTCTTTGAATACATTTTACTGTACTTTAATACTTTGACTTGAAGTACTTTGAACACATTTTACTGTACTTTAATACTTTGACTTGAAGTTCTTTGAATACATTTTACTACTTTAAATACACTTTTCAACAGTCAACACTTTTATTTCAAGTACTATACCTACTTTTTACTGTTACTTTACATTCTTTCAATACATTTCTACTGGACAATTAATACTTTAAGTACCTTCATTTTACTGTAAGAATAAGACAAATTACATTTCGTCATTTATATTGAAACTGTAGTGAGTTTTAGTCTGCAGCTTGACCTCCTGATGGAGTTGAGTTTTAAAACACACGAACACTGAGTCCATTTAAATTCAACAAAAAGCAGATAACGGTGAGTTTATGCAAATCAATCCAAGGCAGGTTTCCTATTTGAATAAAGGAGTCATGGTGAAAACTCACATTATGCTGCAGCCTGACGTCAGTTTATACGAGAGTGTTTTATAACATATAATATAAAATACTACAGCTCCGTACGCTTCATTGAGCTTTAACACGCTAACGGCCGGTGTGATTTCATGTCAATGAAGTGGAAACATTCAATTAACTGATTCAATGGTTCGAGTGTTTTTAAAACTAGGCCATATGAGGTAAACATGTTATCCTCGTACATGTGGAATGGTAGAGCTCAAACACGTATTTTTAATAATCATTATGTCTGGATTATACGGATATGTACTACAAATTACACCCTATTGCTAGACAATGTAAACATTAAACAATATTATTACACTTATTCCATAATGCAAGTTGTATGCTGTTCATTTCCAGAGTTGTTTCCTACTCTTATTTGCATTAAAACAATTAAAATCGAGCATAACATAAGCTGCTAACGTTAGCAGGCCTGGCTAACTAGCTTGTAATTTGGCTTTACCTTAAAACGTTTGTATATTATTAGCTAACGACATTTTACTGGTGGATAACACTACAGATTAGAACCAGAAACAACCTCTTTGGTTCTGGATGCTACTAATTGCTATGTCATGCTAATGCTAGTAAACATTAAACTGTTTTTTCCTTAATCCTGCCAACCGAAGACTACGCTAATGTGAGGCTAACGTTAGCAGCTGTGTCCTGCTCTTTTAACATGTGACTGTGAAAATTGTTAAAAACCTACTAAGAAATAATTTGGTTCTAAAATAAGCTACTATTGTTAGCAGACATGGCTAACAAGCTTAACCAGTAGCAACGTAGCATGACCTTCAACGCAGAACATTTGCATATTATTAGCTAACTACATATTTATTTATTGGGTCACGATACCGATCAGAACTGAAACAACCACTGTTTGGTTCTGGATGCTATTAAATGCTATGTCATGCATTAGATAACGATATATAGTAGTTTTTCCTTAATCCTGCTGACACACAAATACGCTAATATGAGGCTAACGTTAGCAGCTTTGTCCCGCTCTTTAAACATGTGACTGTGCATTTTTAAGAATTTAGAGGATTGTGTAAACGTTTTAGCTTTTTCAAAACAGAGGACAACAGTAAATTGTTAAATACATTTGATGCATTAATGTTCTTAAATACGTGGCTATTGTTGGCAAACCTGGCTAACTAGCTTCAACAGTAGCAACGTAGCATTATCTTAAACTCAAAACATTTGCATTTTATTAGCGTTATTATTTTGGGGTTACGCTACAGATTAAAACCTGGGACCACTGTTTGGTCATGGATGCTATAATGCTATGTCATGCTAATGCTAGTTAACAATCATTTCTACTTAATCCTGCTGACACACAAACAAACCAAGACACTGAACATAACACATATAAACCTTCATACACTTTTAGACTTAGAGAAGAAGACTGATACCCCTTCAGTGTGAAATCAATGCAAGGGGCATTTCAACAACAGTTCCTTTGCTAACCAGGTTATGTTTCTATGTTGTTCAGACGGGAAGACGCGGACTAAAGATAAGTACCGGGTGGTTTACACCGACCACCAGCGCCTGGAGCTGGAGAAAGAGTTTCACTACAGCAAATACATCACCATCAGGAGGAAGTCGGAGCTGGCCACGACGCTCGGCCTCTCAGAGAGACAGGTACGGAAAAACACTGACACAAATTGGGTGAAACATTACATTTATAGGATCTTGCATAAAGCATAACGTCCATGTTTGAGATTCAAAGTGGTGACGAAGAACTGGGCAGGATTTCTTTAACTTGTTCTCTGAAAATGTTTCTTATTGTAAACAAATCCCAGTAAAATACTTAAACCAACAACATGCCCATTGGTTCATATAGTGAAGACCTACATCGTAAATTCAGTTTTAAAAGTAATTTTCTGAAACAGTTGGAATTAGTGCAATTGATCACTTGTTTGGGACTATTTTTATGGGCGGATTAATCCACTATTTGCGCTCTAATGCGTATGTGTAGCAGCAGGACAGCTCAACAACTGTTGGATGGATTGTCATGACATTTGGTACACCCATTCTTGTTCCCAACAGGATGACGTGTATTACATTTGGTGACCCTCTGACTTTTCATCAGGTCAACACTCAAAGAACACAGACTTTTATCATGGGTTATTCTTTGGCCCTTGCTAAACGCTCCCACCAGGTTTCATGAGAAAGTCTAGTTTTTCACCAGTCCTGCCAACAACAACAACAACACAAAAGCAATCAAACTAAAAGTCCTATCTTGCTATGTTTAACGAGAAATGTAAAATAATGCGTGGATCCGATTTCTTCAACCTATCCACCAAGTTACATGAACGCTGGATGTGTAGTTTTTCCGTTATACTGCTGACAAACAAACCAAACTGGAACCATTGCTTTCTTGGCAGTGGAAATAAATGTGGTGCTTTAAAATGATGTTTACAAGTCATGCAGATATAATATTACTGATGCATTTCAAGTAGTTTTTCACAAACAAAGAATTAGCTTTGGATAATTGGTCCACCTCAGTGAAAGAAATATCTACAGGAAACGTAAAGATGCTTGATGCAAGTCTTCAAATGAATTAGTTTTGCTCCAGGTGAAGATCTGGTTCAAAAACCGCCGGGCTAAAGAGCGCAAAAAAGCAATCAAACTAAAAGTCCTATCTTTGACAAACTGGAACCATTGCTTTGTTCGCGTGGAAATGCATGTGGTGCTTTAAAATGATGTTGACATGCCATGCAGATATAATATAACGGTAAAGGAATCGGATGCATGCCAAGTAGTTTTTCACATACAAGGAATTTGCTTTGGTTAATTGGTGCACCACAGTCAAAACATATATGACTCATATTTCCACTGCAGTCCTCGCTCGGCTTAGTTAGGCCTTGGTAGGCCAGGCTCACTTTATGCTGCGTTTCCATTACAGTTTAGTAGCTGGGGCGGTAACTATAGTAACGCAGTGTAGGCGGAGCCGTGACGTCATCTTCAATGAGAACCAAAGAAAAACAACACAGCCGTTAGCTGTTAGCACTCAGAGCTCACAGCTCCTCATATCTGTTCAGAAACTAGACAGAAGTTAAACAAGTACAAACCACAGACTGCCTGTGTCATGGAGAATACAGTCGCTGCTTTATTTATGTCTGTAGGCCGTTGTTGTGAGTGTGGACGGTCGGAGCATATATAACGTTAGCTTAGCCAAGCTCCATTTACAAAACCATTTCATCCCACAGGCCATAAGACTGTTAAACACCTGAACTAAGAACATCCATAACATTCATCTGTTTGAAACTTACAAATGATGTATCACTTGTATAGACTCTTATGGCACGACTTATGTTCCATGTTATTTTATTTACTGTTTTATTGTGTTGCTGTTGGAGGAGTCTGTGACCTCAGATTTTCATCGATATAACTACACTGCAGCTCTGTACTCATGACAATAAAAGCCTTGAATCTTTTTTTCTTCAGATTATATTGCAAAAATAAAAACGCCTTTGTTTTGTTGTTGCTCCAGGTGAAGATCTGGTTCCAGAACCGCCGGGCTAAAGAGCGTAAAATCACCAAGAAGAAGCTCCAGCAGCCGGCCTCCTCTTCCTCCACCACGCCTCCAGCCAATGGGAGCGGTGGTGTTCTCCATGGAAACGGCGGAAACAGCGTCTCCATGGTGACGAGCAGCAGTGGTAGCAACGGGCTGGTGTCGCCCTCCTCGCTGGCTCTGAACATCAAAGAGGAATACTGAGGAAACCTTTTAGTGGACGCTCACATCGGGGATCTGGACTGAGACACTCTCCCCAAAGAACTGAGGAACGCTTTGCATCCCGTCCCGCCTCCTGCCATGTTTTTTTCTTTCTCCGCCCTTCTTCGTAAAACCAAAGCTCCAAAGTTTGAGAAAGCAACTCCTTCTACCGTCTGACTGTTGCAGATAGTTTGTAAAAGTGATCAGATGTTTCGCTTGCTGGGATTTCAGGACGTTTGGTTGCACGTCAACAGCTAAATGCAAAAAGACTGGAACAGGAAACAAGTTGAAATAGGAACACAGTTTGAGTTGAGAGTTACTTGTCCAAGCTTTCTTCAAATGTGTATTCCTTGTGGAGATGCCGAATTTCCCCAAGATGTCGAATATTTCCATTTAAAAAAAAAACTCAAGGATTGAAAAGCCTTTTCGCACCAACTGAACCAAAGTGAAACTAAGTGCTGCAAAGTCAGCTAGCTCCTCCTGTGCCTTTAATACCACCCAAATAATGTCTCCTTTAAATTCCTCGTATGAAGTCTTGAGGAATGCTTTTGCACCTCGTTGGTCTAAAAATGTAACTTTTCTTTATCTGTCTCTGCCATTGTTCTGCATGGAAAGAAAACCTTTATACTTTAGCGCGTTTATCATCGCAATCAGATGCAAAGAAGGGAAAACTCAACCAAAACACTTGAATGGTTTTTGCCAGATATAGACTATCAGCGTCTGCAATCTGTTCTCTGAGAATTCGCTGCTCGATGTCAACATAATTAGCTTCAATGAAGAGCTGCATGCGGAATATATATGATACTGTTAGACAGTGTGGGACATATGTTTGTTTTTAAAGCTACTTAAAAAAAGAGGATTTTCAGGGTAAATCACGTTTTCAGGTGTGTGTTTGTTCTTGATGATGCATTTCAAAGAAAAGTTTTGTGTTGCTTTTAAATGATTTCTCCACCTGAAAGGACGCATAGTTAAACTCCAGTGACAGTGTTTATGGTCCTGTGAAGAACAGGGACAGTTAACCTCCTGAATGTTACTGGACATAGAAACGCATAATACAGGGTTTTGTTCTGCCTTTAATTATTAACACTGGAAGCATTTACAAAAATAGCTGTAGTCAAAAAATATAAAATATAGTCATTTGCATTCGCTCAGTAGGAATATCTTATTCCCAGAAAAAGGGCATCTGTGCATCTTAACATATCAAGTCATTACAAACGTGAGGTGCTTGTACTTAACCACTTCTGTTTTACTTCAATCAATACTTTCATTCCATATTTCTTATACATATGGCGCGTTCACACCGGAGTACTTTCCCCGTTTAGTTCCGTTAGTGCCTGGAATTTTGCGTTCACACCAAAAAGAGAACTTTTACCCCCATTTGTAGTCCCTGCTAGAGAGGTGGTACTAACCCGGGGAGAAAAAAGTACCAATTTCGATTGGCTGGGCGAATTGCAAACGACGCCCCGTAAAACTCAGAAAAGTTTTTTTAAGCCGCCATTGTATTTGCTGGCATTAGTATTATTAGCATTAGCATTAGCACCGCGCATTGACAGAGAGAGACTAACTTATGGCAACACAAAATAAAACATGGGAGCGGTGGAGATGAGGAGGTGTCGGCGTTCTGGCGATTTACTCGGAAGGCTTCAGTAGAAGCTGCTGGGAGTCCCAGCAGCTTCTACTGAAGCCTTCCCCAACTCCGGGGACTTCCGGCCGGGGACTCCGGGTGGCAGCATACGCCGTGAAGTGGTTTGCGGCCTGCCAGTAAACCCAAAGCAGAAGAAGAAGAAGTGACGTCAGCGGCTTCATTTGCCTAATCCTCCCTCAGGGACTTATTCCGGTGTGAACGCGATCTGCTCTTTAGTTCCATGGGGGAACTAAGTGCTGGGAACTAAGTGCTGGGAACTAAGTGCTGGGAACTAAAGCCCCGGACACCCCAAGCCGATTTTGGCCGTCGATGGATGTCAGGCCGACGATGAGCATCCTGTCGCCCTACTCAGATTGGTGTGTCCCGCACCGTCGTGTCTTTTCGGGCGTGCCAACACCTTTTTGGCCGGAAACCTACCGATTTGACATGGTAGGCAATCCGCCAAAGGCTGTCGGTCAAATAAATCACTCTGATTGGCTGTTCAGCTGGCGAATCAGTGCATGAGAAGCGAAACGGAAGTGAGGGACCCAAACAAACGATTAAGAAGGCCAATCTGAGATTTCCTTTAACTCCAGCTCTCGACTCAGGTTCGGGAAAGCCCCGTGAGCTTCTCGCTGTAGAGTGAGCATGGAACGCACACGCTATTTGTTGTTTGTTTATATCGCAGTCTGTTCTTCTTCTCTCGGTTATCACGCAGTCTGTCTTCTGGTTGCCTCTTTTGAATGACGAATACACACTACCGCCGCCTGTTGGTAGGGAGAGTTATTGCCACTCAGTTCGTACGTGCTTCTTGGCCGTCGGCTGAAGTCTTTGCGGTGTGTTCCAGTGCGACTGTTGGCCAAGACGCAGGAGACGTGAGGCGACACAACAGTCGGGTCCGTCTGTGTGAGTTCTTTGGTGTCAGCTTGGTATGTCCCGACCTTTAGTACGGCAAAGTACTTGGTGTGAAAGTGGCTATACTGTTCGTTAGTAAGGTTTTAAATGCTTGAGATTCAGGGGAGTATTCTAAAAGTATGCTATAAGTAATTTAACTGCAGGAAACGATCTTATTATTTCTTCCACCGCTGGCAAATTCTCCTGAAGTTGGTTTGTTGTCTTTTATGTGCCACAATGTCTTGTAAACGATTGTGATCAATACATCAGATTTGTATATTCTTAATGTAATTTTTCTACATTTTAAGCGGGTTTAACTTGATGATTGTGAGGTAAAGTGAATACATGTTGGATACAACTTATATATGAAGTCACGGACCCACATTTTATTTACAAACCAAAAGCTGTTTTAATAATAATAAGTGTACAGGATAACTGAATGTAACACTATAACAGAGCAACAACGGTGACTTAATTTAACGTATTAAAAGACAAACAGCATATTTCCATCGTGTCTGATTTCTTCTAAAAAAATGTGTGGGGGTGGGTTTATGTTTTACACATACGGAAAAGAATAATGGCCACGTGTCAAACATTTTAATGAGATCTGACCAAAAGTGCTTTTTATTTTTAGTCGAGTATTTTTCGAAAAATTAAGAATTTTGAGAAGAAATGAGAATTTTTTGACATTTTTTAAAAGTGAGGATTTTTTGGAAATATTCTAATTTAAAGAAAAATCGGAAATCAAGCAAAGAAGAGAGAATTTTGAAAAAAAGTCAGAACTTTAAAAACAATTCAGAACTTCTTGAACATTTAGAAATGTTGTTGTTTTTTGATGAATAACGTTTTTTTATTTTTTAAGTTCAACTAACTTGTAATGAATAAAACAAACACAATTTCTTTGGATAAAATGTACAATATGTTTTCCACATGAAAGTGTACAACAAGTAACCTAAAGAATACAGAAAGTCATAAAGAGAAGAATACACACACACACACACCACACACACACACACACACACACACACGCACACACACACACACACACTAAATGATGAAGCAGTTGAGGTGTGGTGACCAAAGGGCGAAGAGGAACAGTGGGCAAACAGAGCGCAGGATACTGCTATCTGCCTTGTGTGTGTGTGTGTGTGTGTGTGTGTGTGTGTGTGTGTGTGTGTGTGTGTGTGTGTGTGTGTGTGTGTGTGTGTGTGTGTGTGTGTGTGTGTGTGTGTGTGTGTGTGTGTGTGTGTGTGTGTGTGTGTGTGTGTGTGTGTGTGTGTGTGTGTGTGTGTGTGTGTAGGTGTAGGTGTAGGTGTAGGTGTGTAGGTGTATGTGTGTCATCACTCAGACCTTTGTCCTTCTGGGCCCACTACGCCTCCAACAACAGTCCTATCTCAACACTGATAGAGACTATCAGCAGTGTGTGTGTGTGTGTGTGTGTGTGTGTGTGTGTGTGTGTGTGTGTGTGTGTGTGTGTGTGTGTGTGTGTGTGTGTGTGTGTGTGTGTGTGTGTTGGTCGAATATACAGCCATTTTGAACTTGAGGCCTTAACTAAAGACCTAAACTGGTAACACAACATCATCCAATAACGAAACTCCATAAAAAGTGAAAAAGCAGTTTTAGTTTTATCCACTTTTATCTTTTCAAAATGAGAAACATTTGGAAGCATTCACAACAAAACAAACCATAGTTGGAAAGAATACGTTACATACAAATACAACGAGACTAGATCCGGATATTTAAATGGTTTTATTTTCAGTTTTGAGTTGATTGAACATTCACGTTTGAGCCAGCTTTAGTTGAATGACGGTTAACAGGACGAGAGGGAACCAAAACAGGCGGGAAGAGAAGGTTTGTCCTCTTGGATTGAAGACAGTTTATCAGACCTGTTTTGAACCACAGAGAAAAACTTTCACAAAGTATGTTTTAGTTAAAGTCATATTTTAGTTGACCTTTCTCCACAGATTACACTAGACTTGGCCGTCAAAGCTGGAGTACAGAGGTTTTGGAAAAGATGCAGTGAAATTGAACGTAATATTTAGAGGGTTGTTTCTGCCCTCGTCCAATGGGGTCAACCTTAGAGTTCACCTGAGTCACAGGCAGTTTACATAATACAAGAGGAGCGTCACTTAATGAAGTTCAGTCGACACTCCCAAACCCTCTTCATTCGCTCTGATAAGCTGCAATATGTGGCAGAGAGAGGATTGATGGCAGTGTGCCTGAAACCATAAAAGATCAATCAAACACCTTGGAACTATCAGTGTAAAGGGTCACATGTTCACACTCTTATTTATCGTATTCATCTCAAGCTCTGACCTTGGACCATTTACATTCAAACTGAAAGTAAAACGTTACTTAAAGTGGACCTATCATGCAAAATGCACTTTGAGATGTCTTTTATGCACACGTGTCCCCGGTGCGTCGGGGAACTCACGCAGCGTCAGAAAATAAAACCCTCTCTTTTCCTCCGTACCCAAATCTTTTGAAAACAGGTGAACAAAGAGCGGATACAGATTTGCTGCTAATCTGACGTCGAATCGGCAGCGGACCCACAGAGTGTTGCTATCAGAAACAATGCCTGACGTGTTTTGGACGTAATCTCGTCTTTGTTTACATTAGCGAGCCTCGCTAACACTCAGAGCTAACCTGTACTGGAGAGCACGTGTTTAAAAAGCAGGAAATACAAAAGAACTCACCTTGTGATAAACCCGCAAGAGAAAAAGCATTTGAGCTCCGTACTGTCTCAGAAATAATCCTTGATGTGGTTTAGAACAGGATGGCGTTTTATCACAGCAGAATTTTACTTTATCTCCGGTAGAATTCTGATCAGGCATTAGCTCCGCCTCCTCTTATTTATTTTTTCAAGCTAAGGACCCAAAATCCGCGTTTCTCTAACAGGGCTTCAACAGAGGGGTTTGAGCAGAATGAGGCGTGGCTACAACGGGGGTCTGTTTGGTATTTTAAGCAAATCACTTCACAGACATGTTTTGTTTAGGTTTGGCCCACAATATGTTTCCAATACAGCATGATAGGTCCACTTTAAGAAATAGTCTGAGTTTCTCGTTTTACATGACCTTACATGTCACTTGTTAGACTTTCCACTTGGTATGACAATATTAAAACTACTTCAAGGAGGCGTATCTGTTGTACTTATAAAGAGAAGGGGAGTGTTGGTGTAAAGCCATTGTTTTGATGGCCCATGTGTACGGAGGCCGACAGGTGCTAACGTGCTGCAGCTTCAGAAAGGATGCAGATATAAAAACCCAAGGGTTCCACATAAAGAAACATCTTCAGCAACTTGAGGAGACATGGCAGCGTTTACTAAAAGCTGCAGAAACCAAACGCTGAAGAAGCTCAAAACACAACGAGACCAGGGGACACTAAAGAGTGACGCACACAGCTGGGAGACCAGGGGACACTAAAGAGTGACGCACACAGCTGGGAGACCAGGGGACACTAAAGAGTGACGCACACAGCTGGGAGACCAGGGGACACTAAAGAGTGACGCACACAGCTGGGAGACCAGAGGACACTAAAGAGTGACGCACACAGCTGGAGACCAGGGGACACTAAAGAGAGACGCACACAGCTGGAGACCAGGGGACATTAAAGAGTGACGCACACAGCTGGGAGACCAGGGGACACTAAAGAGTGACGCACACAGCTGGGAGACCACGGGACACTAAAGAGTGACACACACAGCTGGGAGACCAGGGGACACTAAAGAGTGACACACACAGCTGGGAGACCAGGGGACACTAAAGAGTAACGCACACAGCTGGGAGACCACGGGACACTAAGAGTGACGCACACAGCTGGGAGACCAGGGGACACTAAAGAGTGACGCACACAGCTGGGAGACCAGGGGACACTAAAGAGTAACACACACAGCTGGGAGACCAGGGGACACTAAAGAGTGACGCACACAGCTGGGAGACCAGGGGACACGAAAGAGTAACGCACACAGCTGGGAGACCAGGGGACACTAAAG